AACGCCAGTTTGATCTCACACAGTATTCACTGCCCGTATTTACATCCTATTGCCTGAGGCCCAGGGAAGGCAAACAACAGGCATTTTCCTTTCAGTCAATTTCTATCTGAAAAACAGCTTAAAAGACTTCTTAAATAACAGATCTGCATTTATCTTTGAAAATTTTTAAAAAGCAAAAATCAGGTGATGTAACCTATAGTATTGCTTCTGAAAAAGCCTCAAAAAGAAAACTGATTTATTCTCTAGATGAAGTTCTTTCTGAAACACAAAAATATTAAATAATTAAGAACTTGGTATATAGCTGTGAAGTCCCACACATGATCCCCACTTCCCTGTGAAGTAAGCCAGTAAATTAATTAGGCTTTGCTATACAGCACTTTTATCTGAAATACATAGCTCTTTCTTCCAGACCCCTGAAAATACACAAGCCTGAGAAAGGAGCACAGATAGGAACCAATCCACTTCAAGGGGAACCCAAAAAGCATGTGCACATCCTCAGTGGAGTAAAGGATCTGCACTGAAGTAGAGGAGACTGGAATAGTTTATGCCAGCCAGGAATCTGCTCTGCATCTGCAGACCAATTTATGAAAACAAGGTGATACACCATACATGGACCAGATGCACTAATGTAGTGTAAGGCAAAACCAAGCTCTGCTGGGGATGTTCCAACATTTCTACACAAGATTTCACAACGTACAAAAATTACTTCATGTGAATGAAGATCTTTCTTAACTGCAACCTCTCTGCATGGTTTGAAAGTGCTACTGTGCACAAGGTTTTCAAAGGTCACCCAACAAGCAACATTCAACTCTATCTTCTTCACAGGGTGGCATATGAATAGCACATTTAAGTTTTAACAGACTGAAAAATCATTACCACAGCAATAAGTCTGAGGCCTCAGAGCAATTTTCTACATAAACACATTCCTTGACAATTATCTTTTTTGTTCAAAAGGTATATTTTGCTTTTGCAATAAGATTTTTCATGATATCATAGCAATTAACAAAAGACAATCAGGAATTTTTTACTTTTAGGAATGTCAATACCTTCTTATGTTTTGTAATAAACAATAATTTTTTAAAATAAACTGTTTATTAAATTCAATGAACTCATTCTCTTAAACTACTTGAGGAATTGAGGAACTTCTGGAAAATTTGAAAAGTCCTCAGCAAGTAATGAGGCGAATGTGATGAACCTTTATCTAATTATTTAAATGCTATTTGCAAAACATTTTTTCAGACCTCCAAAAGTGACAAGAAACAAATGAGGAGAGAAAAAAGTTTCATCAGAAACAACGGTCACAATTAAAGACACTCATAACAAAGCTGATGAAATCGGAAGAAAACTTGATTTCCTTATACACATTCTAAGAAAAGCAAGCAAATGTCAGGACGCAATGCTATTTTGAATTACCAAATACTGCCACCACGTGTTCACTTCAAAGACCATCAGGCTGCTTGAGGAACCCAGATGACAAGTGTTAAAAGACAAAGTAAATCGAATTTGTTGCTCTATCTCTTATGTAAAATGTTTCTGTATAATACAATAGTGATGAAAACCCAAAAAAAAGCTTTAAGTATTTTTAGCCACTTGTGTTACATTTGTATATAAAAAAATGTAGTTCTCTTTCTAACCACTCCAACCATCACTGTGGAGAGCACCAACTAGAAAACGAGGGAGAAAATAATGGCAAACTTTGTTTCCACTCACAGATGCCTACCATAGTTGATGTTTCATTGTGTTTGTGCAGTGCCCACCTCAGTAAGCTTCTATTTCATCTTGATGGTCCTTAGAAGGTACCAAAACCCACAAACGTTCACATAACTACATGAGCAACCTGATCTAGTAACAATGCCCCTGCGTACTGCAGGGGGGTTGGAGTAGATGATCTTTAAAGGTCCCTTCCAACATTCTGTGCTTCTATAATATTTCAGAGATTGGCTTTTCTTCAAACGTTTACGCATATGAACAAAAACACTTGTATGATAGAGACAGCCAATTCAGAGGACTTCCTACAACATTAATTTCCACTAGTTCTAATGCAAGCAGCAAAGGATCTCTACTCTTACTTGAAAATTATATCCATTTCAATTTGAATTAAGAGCATTCAATTTCTTATTACTAATGCAATCTCTCACCTGAAAACTCCCCTTGAGGTGGAAGGCAGGCAGAGGAACTGCATCTCACTACTGAAAAGCTATGCCTCTTCTCATTTAGATGAGATATTCAAGAATATGCAGAGAGATTCCAAACTTCACCAAAAAGATGGTTACCTGATTTTTTTCCATGTTTTCAAAACTTCTGCCTTTCAAAATTCTTTGAGTTGCAATGCCTAACATTAGCTTGTAAGATCAGGAAGTATTAGAAACAAATTTGCAGCTATTTTTAATATATACACACATATCTAAATTGATTAATTGAACTCAGAAGAACTGACTGAAGAGCCATCACTCTCTTATCAGCATTATCCGGGTAAACAAAATAGTTCAGCCACCTTCCTCGGAGGATGCAGCAGATTTCACATCTATGTAACAATTCCTTGAGTGAATACTTGCTCCAGGAAAATGCAGACCTCAGGGAGCAAGGCCAACAATTAAAATAAATGCAAGTAATACTTGGATGCAACACCACACTTGCGATAAAACATTCTTTGGTACAAGTCTAGATACTTGAAATTTCAAGAATGAAAGAATTTTAAAAAACACTGAACAAATACTTGAATACCTAATGAATGACTATGTAGCTTTGGACAGCTCAGCTTCAGAATTAATTCCCATTAGGATGACAAAAATCAGAACACTTGCATTTAAACAAGATGTGTTTTGTCAGTATTACTCATGAGTGTACCCACTGAATGTCTTTGGTTATTCCAAGCTTCTTTTGCTCTCAGGAATACTGAGTGTCCAGACTCAAGATTCTTTCTAATACCTTAAAACTCAAAGTGATTCCAAACAGATGGCAATGATGAATAACTGAAGTGGAGAAGTAATTTCAAGTAACTGATAAAGGACAAACCCTATTATCTTTTCCCTGTCTTTTCCCATTTGTTCTTCAACGTGCATTGTAGACTATAAACTTATTCTGCAGCTCTATTCTGCAAGTCTTAACAGCAGGAAAAAAACACAAGCCCTGCATGCAGGTCTAGTGGCAAATGACTGCATTAAGTAAAAATAAATTGGATTGTCCCAGCCTGTTTCAGATTTATTTAACCATAGATGGTAGCAGTGTTCCCACCAGAGAGCTCCAGAGGTAGGAAAACAAACTGAAAAAGCATCTTTGACAAAATAGCCAGAAGTCCATCATGTTTCCTACTGCCGACTTAAAGCAGCAAATCACATCTACGGCACTAATTAGTAAAGGAGAAAGTGTCAGGGGGCAAGATCATTTTAGCAAAGTTTAAATATAGGAATAAAAGGAGAACTTACATTGTTGGAAATACACATCTATGGTCTACAAGGTGCTTTTCAGTACATGAACACACTTTCAAAAGGAGAAAGCGTGTCAGCTGTTTACATACTTTTAAACCATGAGTTTATGTTCTAACTTCTTGATTTCTTTCCTACAACAAATATGTAAAGCTTAAATGTTGCCTCACAGTACTTATCACCACCCTCTTACAAAACTTACCACCATCAAAGCAAGCATCATCATAAATGTCACTACCAAGCTACACTTAGCAGAAGTTACCATTTCTGAGCAAAGCCAATGGGTACAAAGTAAGTCTTCAAAAATGTAAGTAGCATTTGTCAACTCAGGTGTTTAAAAAAAAGTGCTGAGATTTCACACTGTGGCTCATATGCTGTATTTGATTCATTATTCTCTATTCCTAGTTTTATCTAGTTCACGCTTCTTCACATCACCAAGTTTACAGTAACATAAAAAACTTTGAAAATTACATAGTTACATTTCAAGCACACACAATATATTGCAAGAGTAGCGTAACGAAAGCAACAGGATCTTAGTTTATATCCATCCCCCACACCAAATAAACCAAACTAGTATTCTCTCACTGTGATTTCCAGTCAAGAAACATTGCAATGCATCTTATTAAAATGTAAATTGAATCTCTAATCCCTTGTAGAGCCAAACACTCTCTAGACATTATCCTCTCTGGTTTTACTCTCCACAGGAGAAAGCAAATGGATAGAGAATGGTGGTCTTCTAAAAATCTGTTCAACTGATGCATTCCTTTGAAATTCTACTCTTCAGGGATGAGAAAGGGGGAGAATTTATTTTGAAAAAATGACTTATTGACATGAATTTTGTATGCAACAAGAGGATAACTTTTTGAACCACAACAAATATGTGAGCATGTGCATGTAAGTGTTCATATTTAATACATGTGAAATTAACTTACTAACAAGACATGTATTGGGAATGAGCAGATTAAATTAAACAAAAGAAACACATATTGTGTGAAAGTTACACCTCCCCTGCCTCCTTTAAATCCTGGTACATAAACGACTGGTTATGTGTTATTAGCTCTACCTCAGTGCAAGATCTGTCTCTGATCTGAACTGATAACAACAACGACTGCTGCCAGTGAGCACTACTCTATGCTAAATGTTCAAAATTTCTTAATCTGTTGATCACAGTGTCTGATATTATTTTCAGTGTACTTCAAAGTAAAAAAAAATACTTTTTGGATTTAAAATTTTCCAGAGTTGTTATTCACACTCTTTTCTTAGATACTTTCAGTATAATAAAAAACTACCAAAAATATAATCAAGATACAAACCACATAATATACTTAAAGTAGAACTTGCATCATCCTGATTTAGCTCACATCTTTTTCACTGATTTGGCAAAGAGTCCATTCTTTGGAAGCTTGATCATTCAACTCCAGTCTCAACAGCCACCTTCTAATAAAAAGACTAAATTTTGCACCCAAAATTTGACAATGACTGATGAAGCTTGTCTTTGAATTAGACTTGTCAAATTTGAGGACTCCAGAACTCTTAAGATATACCAATGTGCAAATAATATCAAACCCAGTTAATTTATGTAGCTAGCTGCGTTAACATTAGCTTTCTGTCACTGATTGTCCTTATTTTTGTCAAAGCCTTGTTTGTAAGCTCCATGGTCTCATCCCACTTGTTTTTCTCAGGACTTGTGTATGTCACCAAGTTCTCAGTATACCGCAGAACCGACTTCAAAAACCTAAGAGAAATAAAGTCAAAGAAGAAAAACACAGTAAAGGATTTAAAATAAATAAATAAATAAACCTCAATGACTGATTTAAAGCTGCTAATGTCTCCAGATTTCCAAATCTCCCTCAGGATGATCAATATCTAACTTTTTTTTTCTACTTCTGGAAGAGAACCATTCTCTCATTCTCACAGTAAGAAATGATGATTTTCAGAACTGCAGTTAAACACTGTGATAGAAAGAATGTAGTGATAAAATATGTGATAGAATTTTCCCCAAATGGCTTCTTTTCCTTTCTCAGTCAAATGTTTCACAATGCCTAGAATATCAAATCAGCTGTTAATTGACACACAGGAGTAAAATTACCAACATATTAAATAAGGCTTTTATGAATTAATATTTTGAGTGTGTGATTGTTCTCTATCTACACTAAGGAAGAGTCTAATAAAAAAATAAAAATGAGAATAACTGGACCATATATTTTCAACTAAATCTAGTTCTTGAGTAAACATTGTCTGAGATATAATGATGACTATAATGACAGAATGAAGGATGACAGTGTATTAAGTCATGCTGTTCCTTTTAATTTTTTTCTCTACAGCATTTATATTACAGATTAAAAAAGAATGTGTACAACTTCCTATTTTCATAAAGTAAATCTTACATACTCACTTTAGATACTGCTGATAATCAAAAGGATTTTTCTCACAAACCAATTGAATGTTGACTAGTTCCAGAGTTATCAACACTAAGATGAGCCGCAACACCAGAGACAAATACTTAATGCTAGAAACAAGCAGAAATAATTTAAAATAAACTAAAACCAAATTAATTAGAAATCATTAATATCAGAAATTCTTCAAACTTCTGCATCCATCCTAAGTAGCTGGATATTTTATAGTGGGAAAAAAAAACCCCAAACTATGAAATGTTCTTCAGCAAAGAGCACAAACAAAGAGAAACATATATAGTTAAGATTCCAAAGCAAAACTCTCCAGCACCTATTACTCCATAGATAATAAAGTGGAGTTCAACTGAATTGCAAATATGTATCACTAGTTGTCAGTTTAAGCTATGTTTCTTAAATAATATGGTTAACACTTTCAGGAACATAACCTGCCCAAGAATAAATAATCTACAGTTTTCCCAGTTTTTAAAGTAAATTCATAATTCCCTGGAAAACACTTCTGAACAGGAACAAATTTAATGAAATACTAAACAATTTCTCCTCTAACTGTAAAGACCTTGACCTAGGTACAATGATAAAAAGCAGAAGAACTAAGCAGGTAGAGTCTTGAAATCAGTTTAAACTGTTGCATTGGGATAAAACTTGAATGGCATTTATATGCTTAAATAGGAAAAGCTAGCAACTAAAAAATACAATCTAACATCTAAACAATACTGTCATTTGAAAGCTCATCATGTACAGTGAAGTAATCTAGCAATGCTAAAAATCCCCATTAAATTTTTCTCCAATTTGAGATTTTCTTCTTATTCCAATATTACACCACAACAGAAATCTGGGTTGACATTTAACTCTGAAATGTTTAACAAGAACAGAGACAGACCGCTGAAAGGTAGCAACAGCAGCATGCAGTCACTCTCTCCTAAATCTAACCAAAAAGTAAATAAAAACCATCAGCCAACCTGTTCAGCATTCGTAGATAGTTATGCCTCTGGCGAGAACGTAGTGTCTTGTTCATCCACTGCTTGTACCTCAGCTCAGTGCTGGCAATAACTTGTTCAGACACTTGATGGCACTGTGTGCTTATTTTACGGAGTACCACCACTACTTCCAAAACAGGTCGTGGAGAATAAAGCGTACAAATATGTGTATCACAGAGCTCAGTCAATAGCCTCCAAAACAGAAAGGAACTGTTAAATTCAATCTCTCGTTAGCTGGATTTAACGTAAGATACATTTCACATTTGGTGTGGCTTGATTCATAACGTTTTAACATAAAAAACCTGAAAACAGATTACTCTTACCCCATGACTGAAAAAAGAGCCAAGATCTATGTAGTGGGGGTAGTGATTGTGTTCTCTATCACTTTACTGAATACAAATGCAAAACTGCTGGTGATGAATATGTTTCCCATTTCAGATCAAAGAAATACAACCACAATAAACAAAACTGCCTGGCTGAAATGATACACTGAACACATCAAATCACAGCAGGGTTGTGGTTGAAGCCTCCCACCATAGTCCAATGAATTAACATCCACTATAATAAAACTCACTCAAGCAAATGGTACTAATTAGTACTGCCATTATTGTGTGGTCTTTCTTCTGAGCAGAACACGAAGCAGACTTAACGTTTTGTAAAATGCAGGTGGTGAGGCTATTGTTTTAATCAACACCACACTAGATTATGCTTTGCTAAAGCAGCCAAGTATCTTTCTGGTGTCATATTTTAACTGCTAACCTAATGGGTCACACATCACTTTAAACACTCTGTTCTTACAGAAATGTTTCTTAACCTCCCTCATGCTCCAATTAAACATTAATGACTAAAAGTGATAAAGGCTGATGTATTGGGTTTTCTGTGAGGGGTTTTTGGTTGTGTCTTTGGTAATGGGGGAACTGCTATGGAGATGGCCCTTTAAGAAGCTGCCTGAAAAGCTCCCCCTTTTCCTTTGTCAGACCCACCTCTGACCAGGGCCAAGTCAATCAGCGCCTCTGCAAATTCATGTATTTAAGGGTGGTGCAGGGCATTTCCTCTCTTCCTCTGGCACTGGCCCCAG